TAGTGAGGGGACAGACAGGACACTGAGAAGAGAAAGAAGATTGGACAGAGTTGGACCATAAGGGGACAGAGAAGGGATAGTAAGGGTACAAGAGGGGACAGCGAGGGGACTGCAAGGGGACAGTGAGGGGACAGTCATTTGATAATGATGGGACACTGAGGTGACAGCAAGTGGACAGTGAGGGGACAGTAAGGAGACAGTGTGGGCACAGCAATGGGACAGTGAGTGGACATTGAAGGGATAGTGAAGGGACAGTGAGGAGACAGTGATGGGACAGTAATGAGACAGTGGACAGTGAGGGGACACTGGGGATGGTGATGGGACAGTGTGGAGATAGTTAGAGGGCAGCAATGGGACAGTGTGGGTACAGTATGAGGACAGTGAGGGGACAGCAAGGGGACAGCGAGGGGATAGTGTGGGGACAGGAGGGGACAGTGAAGAGACAACAAGGGGACAGTGCGGAAATATGGTAGGGACAGTGAGGGGACATGGTAAAGACAGTGTGGGGACATCATGGTGACAATGAGGGCACCACATGGGGTGGCCTGGCCCACCTTGAAGAGGGTGACGGTGGCACTGTAGCACACGCTGAGCAGGAAGAGTGTGATGAAGATGGAGATGGTGGTCCACAGCCCGTCCAGCTCCCCGTCCTGGGTCTCAGCACAGCTCTCGTCCAGGACCACCTCTGGACAGGGAGTGGGTGGTGAGTGCTGTGCCTGCCCGAGGGGGCCTGGCACAGGGTTGGCGGGGCTTCGGGGGGTGATTCCCTCTGGGACAGGGTTGGTAGGGCAGGCAGGAGCCCCTGGCTGGGCTGGGCCAGCAGGGCCCTCAGGTCAGTCTCTGGGCACTGGCCTCAGCTCCCCTGTTCCTCCAGCTGGGATCCCAGGACACGAATGACACCGCTGACCCAGCTCTCAGCCTGGCCAGGGGGGGACAGTGCTCTCCTCTGCTCTGCCCTGCACTGGGGCCCTCTGGGGAGAAGTTGCCCCAACCCCTGCAGGACAGAGGCTCAGGCCCCACCTCCTCTCTCCCGGGGACCAGGCCCAGTGGGCAGAGGGTCAGCAGAACCTGTCCACAGTGGGGACCCTGTCCCAGGAAAGGGCCGAGACATGGTTGGGGTGTGTCCCCACAGCATGAGTGGTCGAGTGCTGGGCACAAGCTGGGTGTTGGGGGATTTCTGTGTGTCAGGGTGGGGGTGTATGAGCCCCGGGGAAGAGGAGGGCCAATTGTCAGAGCTGGTCATTGTGGTCAGTGTGAGGATGAGGCCTGAGCAGCCCCCGGGGTGTTGGAGACTGTGGGGACCCTCTGGTGTCCACGGTGAGGGTTCAGGAGACTGGGCTCCATGCTCTGTTGGGCATCTGCAGGCCGCCCTTGTGTTAGCCACAGTGTGTAAGGCCTGTGTGTGTGCATGTGTGTGCACACGTGTGTGTGTGTGTGTGTGTGGGCTGGCACTGCTTGGTGAGTGGGGCTTGTTTTCAGCGGGTCTGGGCTTGGTGTTGATGTGGACGTCAGGGACAATCCCTTCCCTAGGATCTCAGGGCCACCTGTCTCTGCCCCTTTGGGGCCTGGGTGTGTGAGTCTCCATGAGTGGACAGGCCTGGCCCCAGACAGGAGAAGGCAGGGCAGAGCCACTTTGCCTGAGGGAGGGCGGTGTGCTGATCTCGGAGTGCCCGAGGGCAAAAGGAGGGCTTGTCCCCACACCACGGGCCAGGGAAGTGTCCCTCATGGACCAGAGCCACCAGGCAGAGCTCTCAAGTGACCCAGTGGACAGGGAACCCCAAGGTACAAGGACGGGCCACTGTCCCACAGCTTGGGCCCCTACAGATGATGGACAACCTGTGCACGCATTTCCCTGAGGGACTCCGGAGGGGCTTCTCCTGTTCCCTGGCCACACTCCAGCCCCGAGCAGCTGCTGCTGGAGGGGGACCCAGAGGAGCTGCCGATCCTGGTGAAGTCCCCTCTCCTCCTCGGGCAGCCCCTCCAGCCATCCTGGGTGGACTGCACAGCCCAGAGCTCTGGGTCCTGCCTGAGTGGGACCGTCTCTCTCCCCTAATGGTGACAACTGTGGTCTCAGAGCTCGGCTGCTCTGCTGCCCGCAGCACGCCAGCGCTCTGCTTTGGAAAGAACCATGACAGCGTTGCAGGGTCCCAGGGCCATGCTGGGTGCTTTATTTCATGCCAGGGGGCCCGGGAGGTGTGTACACAGGGGTAGGGGCTCAGTGTCCTCGTGGGATCCTGAGAGCCTGTAGGGAGGGACCAAGAGCTAGCTGGGGTGCCGGGCGTGTGGCTCATTTACCCAGAGACTTGGTGATGGATATCTGAGTGTAGTGATTGTGGAGAGCCTCATGCATCACCTCACACGCGAACCTCGCTCCCTGATTCCACCTATTCGTCTCCACTGAGAGCTTGCTGTACAGGAAGTAGGACCCGTTGCTGTCCTGCTGGGGCGAGGTGGTGCTGTACTTCTCTGCCAGCTCTGGCCTTCCGTTGCTCTGCCACTCGACGACAATGTCAGGTGGGTAGAAGTCTTTGACCAGGCAGGTCACGCTGACCCTGTTCTTGGACAGTTCGTCCTGGTGTGGGGGCAGGACGTACACCTGTGGCTCGCGGGCCTGCCCTGTGGGGACAGGGGTTAGTACAGACCGTCACTCCCTCGGTGGCCCCTCGGGACCCTCCCTGCACCCATCCGTCCTGCTCTCACCTTTGGCCTTGGAGATGGTCCTCTCAATGGGGGCCGGGAGGGCTCTGTTGTTGACCTTACACTTGAACTCCTTTCCACTCAGCCAGTCCTGGTGGTGGACAGGGAGGATGCTGACCACACGGTAGGTGCTGTTGAACTGCTCTTCCTTTGGCTTTGTCGTGGCCGTGTTCACCTCTTTATTTTCCACATACCAGCTGAACTGGACATCAGGGCTGTCCTGGCTCACGTCTACCACCACGCAGGTGACCTCGGGCGTCTGGGAGGTCGTGAGGGTGTCCTTGGGTTTTGGGGGGAAGATGAAGACCGACGGCCCTCCTGGGATTTCAGGAGCTTGAGGGGGAGACATGGGGTGGAGTCAGCACCTGGGCGACCCTTCCCTTGGGCACTCGGCCCCACCATGGGCCACGCCTGGTCTCGGAGCACCTCCTGGGGGTGGAGGGCAAGGCTCTTCTGACTCACCTGGGCATTTGGGACACTTGGGGCAGGACTTCTGGTCTTCATGCCTGTTTGGTGTTTGGGGCTGATCATCTGGCTTGGGTGGTCTGGGCTGATCAGCTGGCTTGGGTGGTCTGGGCTGACCATCCGTCTTGGGTGGTCTGGGCTGATCATCTGGCTTGGGTGTTCTTGGCTCTGCCGAGAGAGCAGAATGGGGGTTACTGGGGCTGGTGGGAGACGACCATGGGGTGAGCTGAGTTCAGGGCCAGGTTTTGGCAAGTCTGAGTCCAGCACCCACCTCTGTGGGCCCAGGGCTCGGTTAGGGGTTTCAAGCCTGCCCCCACTCTGGGCATAGCAGAAACGCCCAGAGGACCCCTCCCTGAGCTTGGGAGGCCTCCCCTGCCGCCCTGAGTCCAGGCAGGAGGGCTGACTCTGGCCTGTCTCCCAGGGAATGCCCCCTGTGTGGCCTCTCCTCTCACCGACTCTCTTGTCCACCTTGGTGCGGCTGGCCGGGTGGGCTACATTGCAGGTGTAGGTCTGGCTCTCCAAGCTGCTGGCAGGCACGGTCACCATGCTGCTGAGGGAGTAGAGCCCCGAGGACTGCAGGACGGATGGGAAGGTGTGCACGTCACTGGTCAGGGCGCCTGAGTTCCAGGACACAGTCACCGGCTCTGGGAAGTAGCCAGAGACCAGGCAGCCCAGGGCCGCTTTGGAGTCAGATGTGGTCCCACAGCTGGTGGCCAGAGGGAAGACCTTTGGGGCCGTGGTGGAGGCTGCAAGAGAGGAGGTCGTGTGACCACCAGGGCCTCACCCTCAGAGGGTCCTGGCAGAGTGTCAGGTGCCCAGGCCTGGGGCACCAATGAGCCCAGCACTCGCGTGCTTCCAGAAAATCTGCAGACTAGATGCCCCACGTGGCTCCCTGTGCCCCAGGGCTGGTGCCTCTGCAGCCACAGACTCTGGACTGGTCGCCAGGTCAGCGCTGTATGACCACCTGGATTGGAGACCCCTCCGGGCATCTGCCCCCTGTCCCTGCTTAAGCCTCCTGTGGATGCCCTGCCTGACCGTGCCCTCTGTCTGAGCCCTGACTGGAGACCCCTGCTCCTGGCTGGCTTCTGCTGGTCCCCCAAGCTCTCTGCCATATCAATCGAGCCCAACCCTGTGCGGGGCGGGTGGGCATCTCTTCAGGTGTGGTGGGTCTGTGCCCCGCACTGCCCATGTCAGCTCCCGGGTCCTCTGCCTCTGAGAGATCTTGTCATGGCCTGTCTCTGCTCCCCAGGCCTCTCGTCTTCTGAGGAAACTCTGCCAAGGCACAACAGACCCATGTACCCAAGCTGCATGGATCCCGTCCCTGACCTGGACCCATCTCTCCCCTGGATCCTCTCCTAGCGTGTATCCTCTCCCTTCCCTGGACCCCATCCCTGTCCCGGACCCCGTCCCTGGGAGTTTCCTTCTCCTCATCCCTTCTGTCCCTGTGGCCCCAGAACCCAGGCTCCTAAAACTGCCTCTGGACACACCATCCCTCCTCAGGTCCTCCTGGCATGGCTTCCTGAGCTCATCTCTGGCCCCTCTACCCTGCACCCCTGACCTCCACCATCCCTGCTCTTGGGCCTGTCCAGTTCCTTGCTCACTCCAGAGCCCTCCTCCAGCCTGCGTCCTTCCAGAGCCAGCCTGCCCCTTGCCACAAGTGGGAGCTGAGCACTGCCTTCGGCCCTCCTTTTCCCTCGGTGTCAGTGTCCCCAGGCCCCAGTGTGGGCTGGGCTGTACCCCCTACCCACACACCCGGGCCAGTCCTGTCCCCTGCGACCATGACTCCTGTCTATTCAGTCGCAGGGCCCTGCCGACCTCTCCCCAGACTGGCATCCAAGGGTCAGGCCCCAAATGGGCCCCTTGCTCTTCCCTCCGCAGGTCCAATGTTCTGTGCCACCTCGCACAGCTTCCGCTTGTCTACCCCTACTGTCCCATGTCCCCACAAGTCTCCCGAATAGGGCTAGTGCCCTGGAACACAAGAACTACATCCCATCTGGTCCTCTCATCGGTGCCCTTCTGCCCCTTCATTCCTAGAGACCTTCATCCCTTGGTTTCCCTCCCTCCCAACTCACCATCCCACCCGGTCCCTCCACTAGCTCACTCTCCTCCTGCACAGGGAGGACACCTGAGCTCCTGAGCCCCAGCTGTCCCTGCTCCCTGTACCTGCTCAGCTCCGTCTGTCCTGGGTGCCGTTTATGTAAGGCCCAGTGATTCTTGTCCCCTGAGCTCCTGAGCAGCGCCCTGTCCCTCCTGCCCTCCCACCTGCCCTCGCTCACCTGCCAAGCTCTGCCTGCTGCCCTGGAGCTCCTGGGCAGCCCCCTGTCTCTCCGGCCCTCTCAGCTCTTTCCTCTCCTGCTAAGCTCTGTCTGCCTCCACAGAGCTCCTGGGCAGGCCCCAGCCACTCCTGCGCTCCCAGAACCCTGCTAACCTGCTAAGCTCTACCTGCTCCCCCGGAGCTCCTGGGAATCCCCCTGCCCCTCCTGCCCTCTGACCCCTTGCTTTCCTATAGCCTCTCTGCCTGCCCCTCTGTAGCTCCTGGGTCAGATTCTGCCCCCTTGTGCCCTCCTACTTGCCCCTTGTCCCCTGTAGCTTCTCTGCCCTTTGTCCCTGGAGGACCTAGTGCGCAGCAGCTCCCTGCCCCTCCTGCCCCCACGATCCACTCTCCCACAGGTCCCTGAGCTCAGCACAGCACTGCTGGGTCTCCCCAGGGCTGCCTCTGCCCTTCCTGCCTGTCCCAGTGCCCTCAGCCCAGGTTTGCCCTCTTCGTGGACTCATTCGTTTCCCAGTGCTCGGCTTTGTCTCCTGGAGCCAGCAGGAGCCCACCCTCTCTCTGACCAGCTCTCCCCTGGTAGAGCCCCTGCCGTGGGTCCCCTCCTGGAGGACCTCCTGCCCCCAGTAGGGCCTCACCCTGTTCTCGCCCCTCACCACACTCGGAAGCCCTTTCTGGAAGCCCCCTCTTGACATTGCTCCCTCCATTTGCTGGGTCAGCTGCCCTGTGCCCACCTGCTGGCAGCCCCTGGTGCCCCAGCTCCAGCTCCTGTCCCTCACTGCCCGGCTTCCAACGCCCCTCCCACAGCCCACTGAGCTCCTGCTCAGCCCTGTGCTGTCTGAGTTCTGAACACACGGGAGCCCACGCTGCCGCCCTGCTCTGCTCCCGGCTCACTGGCTGCCCTTGACCTTGGCCATAACCCAGAACACAAGGCCACCACCTCTGACCCTGCCTTGGGGCTCGAGCTGTGTCCATTTGCCTGGACAGGATCCTTAGGCCACATGGGGGTCCTCTTCCTCACCTGTCCTGATCCAGACCCCTCCCTGTGTCCTGTGCTCCAACCCAATTGTCCATCCTGGCGTCTGTCCTGCAGCAGCTCAGCTTCTGCCTGGCCCAACCCTCAGCACAACTGGCCAGTGGCAGCCTTCAGGCTTCTGGCCTCTCAGCCCATCACATTCCTCAAGGTTGACCTCCTTCGGTCCAGTGCATCCAGCTCTGTGGGCGGGGACATGCCCCTGCCCATGGCTCCCTGGTGCGGGCTCTGGGTTGGTGCTGTGATCTGTGGGCAGCCTGCCTTCCCCTGTGCTGGCTCATTGCTTGAGTCCCTCCGTGACATCCTTGAGGCCCTGGTTTCCCCTCAGGTCCTGTGGCTGGTTTCTCTGCCCCACTCCACTCCCATCCCCTCCTCCATGGGACCCCACTCACCGAGTGTGGGGTCATGTGCTCGGCTCCCCCTCAGTCCAGCCTGGGTCTCCGAGGACTCCCCACCCCCTCTGTGCTCTGGCTCCAGACACATGTGGCTCCTCGCAGCCCTGCGCTCCATGTCCACTGCCCTGCTCCTTGGAGTTCATGCCGGTTCCCGGAGGTGTGAACGCCCTCCCGACAGCCCTGCAAAGACTAAGAACAGGACTGACACCAGAGGGCACCGCTTGCTTCCTGAAGTTCCCTTTTCTTCTTGGTGGTTTATGTCCCAGAGGGCCTGGGGGGAGTCCAGATGTTGCGGGGGCTGCCTCACGTGGGTGTTTGGCAGTGGGGTGATGTGGGTGCCTGGGACCCAGGGGAGAGTGCCGGAAGCCTGGCCTCATGTGCTGTTCTTTGCTCTCTGCCTCCCACACGGATTATGGCTCTTGATCCACCACAGAGCAGGGTACCCGGGCCTCTCACCTGAGCCCTCTGGTCCCCCCATCCTGGAGGGCATGTCTCCCTGCCTGGGTCAGCATGCAGTGTGGACACAGGCTGTTCTGCTCACACCCCACAGCACAGCCCAGGGCCTCATCCTGTCCACCCACCAGGACGGTTCCCAGAGTAGAAAGCCGTCTTCCTCTGGGTCCCTGGCTCTTCCCTCCTTCCCTCTCGGGCTCCATCCGGGGCCAGATCTCTGACAGAAGGATGGTGCAACACCCAGTGTCAGAGGGAAGCTATTCTCCTGGCCATAGCTGTCCTCTGGGGGACAGACAGAAGTCTGATGTGCATGGACAGAGTTCACAGTGGTCACTCGGACCCAAAACTCTTCCTCCATCTGAGATACAGCATTCAGTCCTTGTCCTCCTATGTGTGAGCCGAGACCCAGCTGAGTGTGTGTGTATGGGAGACGTGGACCCTCAGTGTCTCGTGTCTTCAAGTGCCGTGGCTCACCCCTGGCTCTGTGTGCACTCCTGGGCCCTACTGTATCTTCCACATTAGGCCTTGGATTAGGGATCCCTGGGGCACAACATGGCATCCACCCCACAACAGCTAGGAAGGTGACTGGTGGGGTGCCTGGTGTGGCTCCTTCCAAGTAGTTGGTGGACAGGGGCTTGTCTGTGGCCCCTTCAGGTGGGCTGGAAGTAGGGTCCAACACTGTAGAAAGCGAACCTTCCAGGAGGTGATCTCAGATGTAGGAGCGGAGCCAGCCCTCGCATCCACTGGTGTTTGCAGCATACTTTGGCCTTGGGTGTCCCCAGAGCTGCACCACATCCTCCAAAATTCCCCTCTTGGTCCCTCTGCCTCCGTTGCCATCAAGTCGTCAGGCCACTTTCCACAGTTTGGAGTTTCTCTGAGCAGCACCCATTTCTAGGTCCCAAATCCTGGTCAAGTGGTTCATGGGTGTGCAGTGGGCCACCACACAGGGAGAGGCTTCCAGAGCTACTCCACTGATTTCGGTGGTGAGTTTGCAGGCTGCAGGCAGTGCAGGGCTCTGTGGGTGGTGGGTACTCCTTTCTGCTCCACTCTTATCAACGAGGGGATGGAAGGCTTCACTTGGAGTCTGCTGCCTGGGTTGGGCGGGCACCCGTGGTCTTCTTTGTCTCCAAGGGCCTCTCTGCAGGGACTCTGCAGCACTTCCCCTTCACATAAGTGGACTGCTGCTTAGTGCCTTGGCCTGACTCCCAGGAGAAGCCCTGTCTCCTTAGGGCATGCTGTCCGAGACTCAGCCGCAGCCCCTCTGTGACCCTGTCTCCTTGGAGGTGGTCACTCAGGCCCTGGGATCTAGGGAAGTAAGTGAACCTCATGCGTGCATGGGGGCAGGGCCAGCAGATGGAGGAGCCCGTGGTCCTGGAAATGTTGCTGTGGCCACTTTGTGAAATGCCACTGGCCACAGCCTTGGTGAAGGGAGAGCCCTCTGGTCCTTCCCAGGAGGAAATCATGATAAATCCACAGCACACTCCCGGCTCCTCTGGCCCAGCTTCCTCTCCACAGTGTCCACACAGCCCTGACATCTTTCCCACTTAAGGCAGGCACCCTCGAGTTGAAGATGCAGGAAACTGGTCACTAGCTCTGCAAGCTCTGCATGTCACTGCCACTGCCTAAGAAG